GGAGTCGAAAAGCCAACGACAGAGAAAAACTTTTTTTCCAACGCAGCAAATTTCTCTAAAAGGCACATATTACCCCCTCTCCACAGCGGAAAAGTATGACCCCCTCTCCCCAGCGGAACTGTACGACGCTCCCCCCCCCCCATGTGTATCACACAACAATGCTGTACCCTTTTTATTCGTTTGATCTCAAAATGCTCCATTCAGCAAGCTTCTCGACAAAGATGTGTTCTCGAAAAGTGATCCGATGTGCGTTGTGTCGCAATATGTTGGACGACTTACTGGTAAGTATCCTGATGTGGGTCGTTGAGAGTCGGACATGTTTAAAGGCCAAGTCGCATTCAAATCCCCCTACGATCCCAAGTGGAGGTGAAATGCGTGGCGTAGTCTCGAAACAGGACTGACAACATTTGTTTCCAGGAAAAGGAAAATGGTTAGAATGTGGACGTACAGAGTGCGTGAAGAATACGCTGAATCCCGAATGGGCGACTCAAATCCGTATCGAATACTTTTTCGAAGAACGGCAAACGATGCGATTCGAAATGTAATCAGTGGGAAATATCTCATTCTCTTTTTTTCCTATTTATTAATTTTTACTTTGGATGAATAATTTCTGGAACCTAACCTTGGGGAGGAAGGCATACTGTAAGCTATCGGGCAATCATGTCAAGCAAGCTTTGTTAAGTTGTGCAATCTGTATAATAACCGAGCAATCGTGTCTTACCCTGTAAGTTCTGTAAATTCCTGTCAAGTGCCCTGCAACCCCCTGTCAACCTTGACTAAATGGCATTGGCTTTTGACAAGTTTGACAGGAGTTTGCTTGGTACCTGACAAGTAATAACGGGCTCACAGAGTGTTGACAAGGCTGTCTTCAATTCGCATATATAGCGTTTAGAGGATTGGTAGGCTGACACACACTTACTTTGATAGACTTGGGGGGGAGGTGCTGTACTCCCCCCCCCAAGTCTATCAAAGCGTAGTTTCTTTTTCACCGTGTACTATCTGATAATAATAACGCTGACTTATACATCGGCTGGCCTCCCGCAAGTCATTGTATAGGCCACATCGCATTCAATAAGCCACTACGATTCTGAATGGAAGTAGAATGCGTGCCGCATCCCACAAAGGGATTGATCAACGGCGAAGACTTTATCCTTTATCCTTTTTACTATCTGATAATTTAACTTTTATTTCCCGTTTCAGATATGACATCGATTCAGCCTCGAGTGAGTTGTCCGCCCATGACTTTCTTGGTCGTATGGAGTGCGAACTGGCGGAAATCGTTTCGAATCGGCCCTTCACAAAAACTCTCAGGTATTTTCAAAGGCAGAATTCGTGATGAGCCAGTCGGAAATTCGTTCGTATTGGGTTAGAAATAGAAGCGTGCTGCCAGCTGACTTGCTCATGAATAACAAAAGCAAGGGTAATAGTAGAAAGCGCTCAAAATCAGGCTTTGCGTATTCTAAGCGAGCGATCAAAAATTGGTGTGGTTCTCGGCGATAGGACAGACAAGAGCGGCGAGAGAGTACGCATGCGCGTAAGACACCCGATAAGGTATCTGTCGAAGTGGGCGGAGTCGCTTTTTTGGCGGAGTCACTTGTACAACCCTGTTTACCCCGCTACCTTGCAACTTTCTGATGCGAAACTTATACAGTCTGTCACTACATATCAAAGTCATTATTAAAGAGCATTGGGACAGCTTCAACGCTCGGGATAGTTGGTCAAAAGTTGTGGAGATATCATGTCTTGATGGTCCCTCGCTCGTTCATGCTTGTTCCCTGAACCTGCCTTCGCAAAACTGGTTCAGAGAACAAGCATGGCAGCATCAAGGCACGATATCTCCACCCTTTTTGACCAGCTATCTCATTGAACCTGCTCCAGTGTTCTGAGTTGGCGAAAAAGGCTGCTCTGGCTGCGTTTCGATTCTCGTTGAGGGATAATGACTAAACCTTCCCCTTGAATGGAAAGAGTTAATCAGTACAGACTAGGTCTTCAAAGTACGGTATGGCAGTTGTCTCTAATTGAGCTTATCCTTCTGAAACATTTGATTGAGGCGTTCGACCTAGGAATCTTCCTCAGATTATCTTAATTCCAGCGGGACGAAGCATAAAAATTATGGCCAAATTACCGTATCTTGCGACGAAGTTGATGATGGCGCGAAGGAGAATGTTCGGTTTCATTTGAGTGCTAAAAAAACTGCTGGACAAAAAGGATTTCTTTGGCAAGTCGGATCCATTTTTGAACATCTATCGAATAAGTGACGATGGAAGGTAAGTTACTGTAAAGTTGTACTCACTAGCTCGGAGAACTCACCTCCTTTTAGCCGCCAACTAGCCCATCGAACAGAAGTCATCAAGAAAGAGTTGAATCCGGTTTGGAATCCGTTCGAGGTGAATGTGAAAATGTTGTGCTTCCAACGAGTATAAGCGGTACTTTCAGTTTTGAAGTTGGGAATTGGCGCAGTTCGGCGTGGGGGGGGGAGTAGTGGATGCACTTTTGCTACTTCCCATTGTCGTA